CTTGATCATATCAGCACAATTAGGATGCACAAGGAATAGATGAGTAACCTCCGCTGTATCTTCATCATAATTAAACCAGAACAGGTAACCACGTGATTGTGCCTGGTGTAGCAGCTGCTGTATAGGGTTCCTTCCCTCTGACCGTTCAAACCTGAGTTGCTGTCTGACGTTGTAGATGTGTCTTCGGTTTGGATGGTCTTCTGGAAATTTCTCTAACACAGATGCTAATATTTTAGCAGGCTTGACTTGAGCATCACTCATTTCTTTCACAACTAGTTTCGCAGCAGGACTTAAGTCGCTCAGCTGTCGATGACCCTCTTCATATACTATCATCGCATGGTTGTGATACCCCCATTTAGAGTAACCAATCACTTCCCAACCGTCACGACTCCGTAGTTGTCGAACCTTTACTCTGAACTCACACCCACAACCTTTCCGCTTTGTATCAAACCGAGTGGCTGTACGAAAATCTCTTTCTTCTCTTTTGCGATAACGGTCACATCTCAAAATGCGATCCATTCTACCATCCCGTTGAGATTTATGAGTTACTACTACCAAGCAAAATCCAGCTGCAATTGCAACCTGTTTTGCCCAATCAATCGCTTGTTGAGCTTCTTCGAATGGACCATCATGTCCAAATATCCCACTGTAATCATTTCCGTCTCCACCATAATCCTGCATCAATTATATATTATAACAAATACATTTAACGGATAATACATTTAATTTCTATATTTACACAGAATTAACACAAAAAAAAAAACATAATTATGTATAATATTATTCATACACATACACATACAAATTTTAAACACAATCATTTATAAAAGTCACATAAACAATTAAATATTTTGGTATACATTAACACAAATCTACTCACTACATACATAAAAACATTAAATTCTTAAACATAATTTAAAAAAAAAACACCGTTTTGAATTTTCAATTTGAAATAAATTAAAACAAAAAAAAAAAAACCATTTCCAATTTTTTTTTAATACAATTTCGAATTGTCAAACTTAATTTTAAAAAAAAAACCTTTCTCAATCAAACTTAATTTTTAAAAAAACCCAATTCGAATTTTCAAACTTAATTTAAAAAAATACCATTTCGAATTTTCAAACTTAATTTTAAAAAAACCTATTTCGAATTTTCAAAATTAATTTAAAAAAAACCCATTTCGAATTTTTAAAAAAAATCATTTTCGATTTTAAAAACAAAAAAAAAAAAAATAGGGTGGCGTCTGCCAGGGCCGCCACAGCCACTGGACTGGCGCCTGGTAGGGCCGCCTCAGCCAATGGAGTGGCGCCTGGCCAGGACGCCTGTCTGGTGGTCTGGGCGTCTGGGCTGGACGCCGGTGTGGTGGTTCTGGCGTCTGGCTTGGACGTCCATGCTACGGTAAGGGCGTCCATCCTAGGCGCCGGAGCCACTCCTACGGTAAACCGTGAATTTTAACGGTGACTTACCTCGTTTTCCGTCGACGACGACGTACCTCCGGCGTCCCCCGCATCTCCGGCCTGCCCTCCGGTCTCCCCCGGCGAGCCAGTACGGCTCCACATTTTTTAAATCGAGATTTGTTCAATTTTAGAAAATGGGCATAATTGTCACACCAAGTCATATTTGTGGGCTTTATATGGTAATTTGCGGGCGATGTTTAACAAATCCCTTATTATTTGGTAATGAAATTGTGAAAAGGAAGAGCTAGTAGAGGCAAAAAAACGTTTTCCTAGTACCCTCACTCCCGAACTCATTTCTAGTAATAGTAGACCAATTTGGGCATGGGTAAACTTATGATTCATGCTAATTATCCCTTGAAATTTACTTGGAAGAAAGGTGTAAACGAGGTTTATGAGTTTTCCTTAAACTCATTAGCGACTCTCTATTGGTTTCTTATAAAAAAGGATAATGATTGGCTCATTTCTAATCTAAGGTCTTCCAAACAGTCAGGAATTCAAATCCTAATACACCCTAAAAAGTGTAATAGCTTTTAAAGGGCTAAGGGCATAAAGGAAATGAGATCCCCAACGACGGGCTACCTTCCTCACAACTTAATCATATCGTGATTAATTCTATTCATTCTTACTCCGTACTATTTCCTCAAAAACAAAAAAGAAAAAAAATAGTACTCCACATACTAATTTGGCATATCAAGACGATCTAATGTACCACCAAAATACAAGAACACCAAGAGGTTGTGGGATAAAACCCCACTAGTGATACTTTGAGATGGGGATTCCTTTACCTTCTAAAGTGTTTATCCCGTTAACCCGGGCTGGGAGGATCTGTGAGACATTCCGGCCCGATAGGGTTCTTCTCCTTACCAACCAAAAAAATACAAGAACACCATTACAAGATGTAGGGGTGAGCATGGGTCGGGTACCCGTACCGTTAACACTATCGGTTCGGGTACCCGATATACAATAATACTAAATATAATATTCATTAACCAAACCGATAAGTTCGGGTACTCGGATTTTCGGATCGATTATCGGACACCCAATATGTTATCCAATAATGAAAATTTAGACTTTATAATCTAGTTATTATGATATCATTTAACACTAATTAACAATAATAACACATGATCATGATCAAATTACTATTAATATTACTAACCATTTAAATTATGATGTGATTATACATTAAAGTAAGAGTTTAGATTTTAGATCAATAGATTTAAGTAGGAAAAAAAAGAAAAAATTGCTTATCGGATCGGATAATCGCTAATTTTAAAATGACACCCAATAACCGTACCCGATAACAAATTATCGGATCGGGTACCCTAGCCATTATAGTTATCGGAATAGGTACCCTAATTTTCGGTTCGGTCACTGTTCGAATTTTCGGATAATTTTGCTCAGCCCTACCCGGATGCATAACTAGGGATACAATGCTTTGTACGGATCTATTTCAGACGGAGAAGGGTAAAATACGAAAGTGGGTTTTTTCATTACTACGGAGTACGTGTTATTTCTTTTCACTTTCATGGATGTTTATTTTTTCATGTTAAACATGGTTGTTTTATTAACTGTAGTACGAAGTATATACTTTGCACGTAAAGTACTCGACGAAATGCCGCAGAGGAAAAGTGGTAAATTGGAATTGTATGATTTCTGGGTTTGGTTGGAATAACATGATAATGTATTTAGATTTCTGGGTTTGTTTAAGTAATTGTATGCCTGCTAAGAATGTAGTTTCATGGACTACAATATTGTTGAGCGAGTATATTGAATTGGGTAGGGTTATGTTTCAGAATTCAGATGTGATATGCTGAACATGAACCAACCCTAATGACTATCTTCTTGAATAATGACTGGTCCCGATCTGAATGACCCGTTTGCCACCTTGAGTAATGCATTATAAACATCTTATACAGAGGGTGCATGTTATCTAATAGTCCTTACAATTTATAATTTTGGACCACTACTGTCCATTGCTTCCAGATCCACCATCTAATTGAATGCTTAACTCTGGTTATAAATAGGCCTCATTGAGTCACTTCAGACTTCACGTTCCAGTTCTGAGGGCTGTGGTTTGACAACGGATGAGTCAGTCCGGGTTCAATTCATGCTCCAGAGGTAGGATAAGCACCTATGAGTCTATGACCAATAATTCTTAGTAAAGGCATTTGGAAAAATGATCATATTCCATTGAGAAGTTTGATTATTCCCCAAAATATTGCATCAGCAACGCGAGTATGACAGATGAATATATAATTTTGTACAGACCGCATTACATATCAAAGTAGTAATAGGGAGCATGATAAAGTACCATAAGAGGCTCATATCTCGGGTCTGCAGGTGCTCATCTAGAGTTATGGCACCTAGCTGAGGTGATTAAGCACATAGCAGAACGTTAAATTTCAGCTAGAATTTCAACAAAAAGGTGAATAACCCTGATTAACTGATTCGATGAATTGACAAGCCTTAGTCTCTCAGAAGTAATGTTCTATGTATACTGATCAATGTTTTACCCTGTATTTTGTAGTGACGATCATGATATGGTGTTCTTTATACAGGCCAGAGAGTGAAGCATAGGCAATATCACTAAATGAAGTCATGGACGGATACAGGTTGATGGGTAAAGATGGAAAAGCTAAAAATCATTGAATATGGTGCATCCGATAATTATGACATTGATTTCAGACTTGCAGTTTTCAGGTTTACATAATGTTATGCCTAGAACTTCCAGATTTATTTTTATTGATAAGGCCAACTCTCAGTCTCTGATCTTAAACTACCTTAAAGAGTATGGTTTATCCTGATAGACTCTTTTACCTGTCATATGTACCAAACTAGATCAGTTGACACAATATCAAGCAAATGATTATGCACCGTCGTTGCACACAGATCATTCTGCAAGCCCTGTTATGCAGGGTGCTGAGCATATGGTGCCAGAAGACAAACCAAGAGAAGGTTAGAGGTATATTACTATATGTTTATTGCGTGACTCACAATATTGAGATATTGACTGTCAAGATATATTACTATCAATTGCACCTTTACCATGTAAAACAACTAGTTGATCATGCAGTTGATCCTGTTAATTAGGTGGCGTGCAATTCAGTGTAAACAATAGAGGGAGAGATGGGGAACAAAAACAGCTCATTGATGGGATTGACATGGTTTAATATATTTATTTCTAATATAGGAAAATGATTTTACTAATAAAAGAAATAATTTGTCTATAATCATAATTATTGAGTTATCATGTAAGATTATATCAATAAATTTTCAGATTTTTGGAAATTGATGATCTTATCAGATAATGTCATTGTCCATTATTTTCTCTATGTATACTTGATGATTTTCTGGGTAGATACAGATTGTAGTTGAATATGCAGTGCTTATTTCATACAAGTTAAACCCATATTCCAATCATTTAGCCTACTGTTTTGTATGAATATTATTAGTTCATGAAATTAGAGAAACAATAATAGGGTCGATGTTATAGACCTTATAGTAGTAATTGCATCGTTTTATCAAGAAAATTAATTCAGAATGTCTAGCAATTGTCATGTTGTTACAATAGCAACACTAATTATTCATGTCATACTTCGGTTTGCTTTGATTGTTATAGCTGCACCTCAAAGTTCACTTGTTACATATTTGCCAGGATTTAGTGGCAGCTTTCCTTCTAAGCACTACTCTGGGTAAGCGTTACATTCATTTTTGTCTTTCTGATTTTGTTTAGTATGTACAATGAATAGATCAAATGTAGAGCTGATCGAATCAACCTGGCCTGTCAGCCATTTTCCGGCTTGATTAGTTAAAGAAAAAAGCCGATTTTGGGGTCTGACTCGACCTAAATCGAATATTTTAGGGGTGATCTAGGTTCCCAAAGATACGGGCATGCTTCATAGGATGTATGGCCTAGCCAAATACGTCCTATGATCAACTCTAACCGAACATGATTTTTAACTTTTTATAATTTCATTATTGTTGAGTGAAAATGGATGAGATGTTTTGTTTTTGATATTTGAATTATTATTGTTATTGCATGTTAGTGTTCAAGGTATGTGCCAATTGATGAACATAACGCGATACACATGTTCTACTATTTTGTGGAATCTGAAAGAAATCCTGCAAAAGATCCTGTTGTTTTGTGGCTTAATGGTGGACCTGGATGTTCAAGCTTAGGGGGCTTAGTTTATGAGCATGGTAACTCTTTTTACCCCTGCTTTTTCAATATAGTACAATAGTACTTTATTGTTGGCCCGAGGTTAAAGATCTTAACTTTTGGCACCAACGGATGTACAATGTTTTATGATTTATGAGGTGTCAACTCACACCCCGTACTTCTAAAGAACAACAATCTGCTATAATAATTTCGCATTCACAATAGAAAGAAGTTATGATGAGATATTTAATTGTTTGTTGCTTGTCACCTACTTTCATTGTTTAATGATCAAATTTGTGTGTTGTCAAACATGAAAGTAAAAAAGGTACATGTATTGCGAAAAGAAAAAGTTTGATGAGAGAAATTTGATATTTGATTTTCTGTTGGAATTGTTAAGTAATTGCATTTGAAAATATACATAGGCCCATTCAATTTCGAAGCGTCCGGCCCAATTAGTTCTGAAGATTTGCCAAAGCTGCATCCTAATCCATATAGCTGGTCTAAGGTATAATCCTACAACTTTTTTACATACTTCAGACTAACTTTGAACAATTATTGAAGAGTTCATTATTAAATTACTATTATAATCTCATAATTTATATTGTTTATGCTAATTAACTAGTCTGTTTAGCAGGTGTCCAACATTATCTACTTAGATTCTCCTGTAGGTACTGGCTTTTCTTTCTCAAGGAACACAAGTGATTACATAACTGGGGACTTAAAGACTGCCAAAAATACACACATTTTTCTGCTAAAGGTATATATTTGCTTGTCAAAATATAATAAAAAAAAGTCTAATTATATAACTTGTTAACTTACATGAGGCAAAATGTCCTATATAGTAGATACCTTCAATGTGCAAACTTTAGTTAAACCTTCGGTTAGGATGCTATATGGACATTTCGCCCCTTATTAGTTGCCTAACTGTTAGGTATGCAATAATTAATATAGTGTAACTTTATGAACTAATATTGTAGTAGACGTTTAAGCTTCACAGAAGCATACCCTAATTCCATGTTATTTGTATGAAATTTGATATGCTGCAAATGTAGTGGTTTGAGATGTTTCCAGAGCGCCTTAACAACCCATTTTTCATTGCTGGAGAATCATATGCCGGTATTTTTATACCAACTCTTGCACTTGAAATAATGAAAGGTATCTAATAGATTTCATAGAACACATAGTAACCATAGAAAGGAGAGGGTGATGTATTGTTTATTTTCAATCTCATGGTTGATTTTTTGTAGGACTTGACTTAGGCTCAAGGCCAATCATTAACATAAAGGTAAGCACCTTCTGATATTATAGAAATTGTGATACAGAATACTATCTTCCGGACATTCTATAGTAGTATATGTAACTACGGGGTAACATTTTCGAAACAGATGGATTAACAAATTACAGCAGGTAACAATTTTTCCTCTACATACAGGGCTATATGATAGGAAATGGAGTTGCTGATAAATACTTTGATGGGAACGCTGCTGTTCCTTTTGCTCATGGAATGGGCTTGATCTCAGATGATCTATATCAGGTAATCTTGAAGGTTGTTTACAAAGCAGTAATCAAACTGCTTAAGCCCGGGTTTTAATCTCAATTATCTGCATTCCTGCAGGAAATTGTCGATGTATGTCATGGCAGCTATTTAACACCATCAAGCAAAACATGTCAAAGCAAACTCGACAAGTTTGATGATGTAATTGATTTCATCTTTTTTTGAATGAAAATTTATGTTCTCTTACAGAAAGATTGTTGACTTTCTTTGCCTTCTGATTAACAATAGGTCACTGAGAATGTGAATCATTATAACATCTTGGAACAATGCTATGATTTTTATTATGATGAAGGGTATCAATGCTATAGCTGCAATAATGACAAAGATCTTGATTATGCTAATATGAAATCGTCAAGAAGCTTTGGCAAATTTGGACACAATGAGAGGCGTCTTCCTGTCCAGAGAACATTTTCAGATCATAAAATTAGTTCACTTTGGTCACAAGTTATCAGCAATGTTAGTACTTTATGTCATGTAAGTAAAAGTTACTGTAAATTTTATACTAATTCCTGTGTTCCGGTGCAAATTGTCATTACTTGTCGTCTGTCAGTCATGCATTGATGAATGCACAAAGAATACTAATGATCCTTTAAATTTTAGAATTTAGATCAATGCTTTACTTGTAATCTTTTCCAGTTTGAAATTTTAGCTATAAACAGGAAAGAAGTTCCAAAAACAGAAAAAGTCGCTTCAAATTAATATGTAGTCGGTTCTCAAGATCAACATGACTAACTAATGAGTATCCATAAACTGGAAATTGACAATGATATTATTGATATATACCGAACTGGCCCTTAAGTTTCGAATTTCGATACATTACTGATATTGCAGTCCCCAATTCACTGTCATAGTAGAGTTCTCTACTCTGTTAATGTTAAGGACTCACTTCCACTTCATAACTTTTTATCAGAGTGATATGGCTCCCATCCTGTGGCTTAACAATAAGGCAGTCAGGAAAGCAATCATGCTGCAGAGGTAGGATAATCACCTATGATCAGTTCTTGGTAAAGCCATATAGAAAACAACCAAATCTATTGACAAGCTTGATACCCTGGCAATTTTGCATCAGGAAAGTGAAACTGGCAGATGGGATTCTTGTACAGACCGCCTCACATATCATCGTGATGTTGGGAGCATGATTGAATACCATAAGAGGCTTATTTCTATGGGCCTGCGGGTGCTCATATACAGGTATGTCAGCATTTAGTGGTCACATAAATCTGAGTCTAGAGTTTAGCATTGTGCATTTCCATAAATTCTTCGTAGACTAATAGATGCTTTAAACTGAATCTTGTAGCGGAGACCATGACATGGTGGTGCCATATACTGGAAATGAAGCATGGACAAGATCACTTGGTTACAAAATCATCGACGAGTGGAGACCATGGTTTACAAATGGACAAGTTGCTGGGTACATTCATTCTACTAAAATCTTAAGAATGGTAAAGCTAAAATATCAGAGAATTATGGTGCACTTGATAATCATCCTATTGATTGCAACCTTCAGGTTTACACAAGGTTATGACAAGAACCTCACCTTTCTTACTATTAAGGTCAGCAGCCCATACGAATCTTACTTGCTTTTCTGTTGTATAATCCATAGTAGTTAGTTATTAATAGTACTCATATGAATCATATCTTTTATCCTAATATACATATAACAGAAAGTTCTTCAAACATGATAATTATGTCCTCATAATTGGCTACTGATTATTGATCATCATTCTGTATGCTCTTTCAAAACAGGACGCCGGGCATATGGTGCCAGAAGATAAGCCTAGAGAAGCATTGGAATTTTATAGCCAATGGTTGGCAGGAAAGAAAATTTGAGAGATTTGGACTTAGAAGAAACAAGAAAGTCCAAGACACTGGTAAAGTATTCTTTAAGCTTTGCTATCTATAATCACCCTAACAAATAATTAAGGTGAAAATATACTTTGTATGTAATTTGCTCACCTATAGAGAAGCCAAGGTAAGTTGTTCAATACAATGAAACATTGTTTGATTGAAAAAAATTGGTATACAGATAACAGCTGAAACAAAATACAGATTATTGAGTTCTACTCGACATAAGTTACTCCAACATACAGCAGTAAGCTAGCTAATATCAATTTTTCGACTTTTTTGAAATTCCCCTCATACTAATCTTGATCCGTGTTATGTATAGAGATTGAATAAAAATATATTGAGGGAATTTGAACAGAAAGGCATGCAATGTGTGCTTGAAATGGGTTTGAGATAAGAATTTAAACCACAATTAGCAAATAAGTCAATTAAATGTATCTGAAACATAAAGAGACCAGCAGAAGCCTTTTAGAATGATATGTTTCATATTGTGTTCGCATGGAGGTGGTACATCAACGTCCGATTCTAGGAAAAAGGTCCCCTTTTTTTTCAATTATATAGAGACTCAGCATATTTGACACTTGGAAATATACTCATACTCGAAACTTCTAGCCATGTTTGAGTAATAACTCAATAAAGTGAGCGAAGTTGATCATACAGAACAGAACTAGCATTGGCATATAATAAACGAAGTGAACAAAATTAAAGTTACACTTATGCAATGTTAAACAAGTAAATGGTCAGAGTTGATGACCTTGCTAATCAGATTTGAGGCCTGTATAATACTCTCGAACTAAGACATCAATGAATCATGAAGGAAAAGATTAGCAATCATTATTTCCTGGATTCTTATTTAAGGAATAGATATTATAATCATGAACTAGTATGATGGCTCTTCCATAAGCCCTGGAAAGCTCAAGAACATGTCGTTTTCTTGATCCAACATCACCTCCAAAAATGATGAAGCATCCGAAGAAGCTATTAATGGTGAAGAACCAGCTTGGATTTCCTTACAATCAACCCCTCTATTGTCATTAATCAACAAATATTCTGCCAAATTATTCTCATCTTGCTCTTGTACCCGACTTTGAGCTGGTTTGAACGCCTCCTCTAGGAGAAAATCATGCCAACTAAAACACTCAGGGGACTTGGCCATTTCCCCTGCATTATTATAGCCTTAAGAACAAGCTGATGTTGATGAATTCGATGATGATTTAGGTGAAGGTAAGCTTAAGAAATCATAGCTGTTGTTATTGGGTGGTACATTAGTATCGGAATTTGGTCCTTCAGTGACAAGGCTTATAGCTTGCAGTTGAGACAGAAGGTCTAGGGAGTGACTGTTGCTGCTATTCATAGCATAGTTGTTTTGCATAGGTAAGACATTATTATGAGATACTTGTGAATTCGAGAGGAAAGTGTATGAAGGTGTAGTAAAAGAATCTGGTTTCGGAAGGCTGGATGTGTTATTGCTAGCTTTCTTCAAATCCTTCTGAAAGTTCCGATATACTTTGGGGTGTCAGAAGACCTAGAAACACCGCCAATGTTCCCATAATCCGCTAGGATTTGGGAGAATGGTTTATGAGTTATGGGATCAATCCCCATCTCAGTTAGCTTCTTCCTTAACTTGGTATTCCAATGGTTCTTTATGTCATTTTCTGATCTTCCTGGTAGCTGATGCGCTATTAAACCCCACCTAAATGCAACAAACATTATATGAGACTTAAAATCTTACAAAAGGGAGAAGGGTGAATGCACATTAGATAATTTTAAATTTCAAACGTACATAACCAAGGGCTGATACACATATCCCCGAAACAAAATTCACTCTCCAAGGACATGTAGGTAGTTTGTGAGATATCTAAGGGCATTTCCTGAGCATCCTTAAAAAAAGGTGGCTTTTCGGGAGAATAAAGGGTGAGTCCACTCCTAGAGATGGGTCAATCATTTCTCGTGTGTAACCCAACAATGTAACTATATAAATTTTTTTAGACTATTAAGAAATTGGAGATCGAGAACTAGTACTGCATCAAAGCATATCAAAGAATTTAGGGAATTGATCACTTACCAAAAGCAGAAAATCTGAATTACTTAGTAACAAGATTATACTAAAACAGGTTTAAAATGCATTATTCTTTTTAAGGTGGAGACGAAGTAACCTGCTACCAACAGCAGCATGAAGCTTGATGATAAGCTCCTCTTCCTGTTGAGTGAAACCCTCATCATGTAGATCATACCTCTTATAATTATTATAATTATTATTATTATTACTATTCCACCTTAATCTACAATTCTTCCCACATCTTTTTGTACCTAAAAAAAGAAAATTTTGCATTCAATCATCAACCAAAACTAATATAAATCAAACTTTTCATACACTAATAATTAAAATTATAACTTAATCATGCATGTTACACAACATTACAACAATGTGATTATAACTACCTGTTTTTCTTGGAACAGAACTCCAAT